TAACATAATATCAGGTATCTTTTCCAATTAAAGCGAAGCATCTGTTTCGTTTTGCTGTATCCGCTGTAACTAGAAGTCAATTGAGTGTAACCTTGGATAGTAACATTTTTCAAATTAAAATAAAAGTAAACTCATGGCTGACGGATATCCTTCCAGATACTAAATTTTAGTTATATTCCATTCAAACCATGTGCAACCTTTTTCAAGACAATAATTTTTTCTGTTCACTAAAGCATAATAAATATCGTAGAGTATTCATTTGAAATCGAAATACATCTTTGCACTTAGATCATACATAAGCTGCAAATTATAAAACCTAGGAATCTGAGCCACATTTTTTGTTACTATTCATCTCTGACCTGATAAGGGCTGAAAGACTGAAAAATCAGAGGACAATAGACGGTTACCATAGTGTGCTCAGTCTAATTTGATCGATACGGGTCCTAGGTTCACATAAGAAAATTGTCCTGTAACATTATTTCAGTGAAAATAAATAAACGTTTACGTGTTGTCCAACTGTGTAACATTGAATTCCGATTACATTGAAGCATTTCCTGTTTTCCTTTTGGTGATAGGTAGGAAAATGCTGTGTTCAGTGCCATCATGCCTGCATATTCAAGCAGGTTGCATTTATTCATTAATAATTCCACGATGGTCACACAAAAAGCTGTCTGAAACACACGATTTAGGTATTCCGACTCTCACATGATGCATTTGCTAATTGTGGAATCATAACAAGCTGATCACTAGGCTTGTTAGTTTATTGATTTTGGATTCCGATGCAGGAGTGTGTAAAATGAGGTAAATTTATCAATGCATTATTTGTTGTGATGTAAATGCTGGTGAACATATGCCATACTTTGAACATGTTTTGATAGAAGTGTATATTGAAAGCAATGGGATACAAAGGCATCCAGATGAATCATTCATTTTTTCACCCAATGTAATTATTAAAATCCAAAGCTTGTTTTTCATGCTTATTTTGACAAGTATTCATTAATATTATATATATTGATATATGCACTTTTCACTACCTGAAAGAGTGGAGGGGTTAAAATATGTATTTTATTAAAATTTTATTTCTCTTTGATCTTTGATATCCACGATTTGGAAAGATAATGCACCTGTCGTTGGTTTTAAAACTACTGAAGTGATGGGTAAAAAACCTTCAGGCGCACACTGGAAACGACGCTGGACAGACTAGAAACCGTTAGAAACCGTTACAGTTCAATTTCGTATTTATGTTTGCGTTCACAGCAGAAACTGGTTACAGTCAAAACATTGGAAAAAGTACTGCTTGCAATCAGCTTTTTCTAGCACACTTGACATTTTGGCTGGTTTGGAATACGCTGTCAAACGTGAATGAAGAGAAAGTAGAGAAATTGGTAGTTAACTTCCGGAATAAAATGGTTAAATGCGTTTTGGAAATGTGATGCTCCCGAGTCATAAATCATTCTGTAAACAAAATAAAGTGAAAATATATCTGCTCACTCACTTTGGAGTTCACTTGATATTTGAGAGTTTAAAGGAAACTTGCATAACTGTTTGATTGATAAAATGCAAGCCGTTGACCAGTAAGTTTTCTCAATGAGAGAAAATCTGATTAGCGCAGGTTTAGTACTTATATTGACAGTTATGTCGCTAGTACGCATTCATTGATCGAATTGTTGTTTGTCCCAAACGGAATATCCACTATTGAAATAAAAGTCGTAAAACCCTATTCACGTGTTATCTTAATTATTTTAAGACCTTGTCAAATATGTTAGGTGATTGATTAAAGCCGGTCCCACGTGATTATCAGCAGTTAGTTGAATGACCTAATTTGCTGCAATAACTCAAATATTACTTAAAGTTACCCGGGATTATACAACACATGCACAACCAACTGGATTGCACTCTGTAACACCTTGATTCTTCGCCTGGGGAATAGTGGATTTACGTTAGCGACCATTCGTTTATTTATGAAACATCCAGCCCGACACATTAGTCTAGCCTTCAAGTGATTGTTTGGGTTCTGCATGCAACTTTATGACGAACAGACCGAGGCAACTGGAGGAACTTTTAATTATGTCGACAAAGTAGAAATCCTGGGAAAGCCTTTCTGGGCTCTTACACTGATGTACTCGACTCCACACTCAACATGAAAATAGGAGGAACCGCTTCAGAATGGCAAATATTTCCTTGATGCGCGTACTTTCTCTCTCTACACACATATATATAGTGTTGATCGAACATAATCAAACATTTACTTACGTAAATATATAAATGTGCTTCGATGAAAAGCTTATCAAGAAATCCATGTAATCTTATAGTAAAATACATAAGAGAGCTCTGAAAAATGTCTGGCGGCTCACAACAGAATATCAAAGCAATCCGAAAAATCCGGAAGTATTCCAATCTTATGCTCATAGCATTGATAAATTTAGTTATGACTCCAAATAACCGTAACATTGATTCGCCGGATTGTCGTAATTATCTATATTGGTCTAAGCGTGATACCACACTTTAAGGTAATTTCTTCAGCGTTACCACGATTACTTAATTGGTTTGAGATAACGTGTGGATCACAGATTGCCAAATATATAGTACGACTACACTTGTTCGTTGTTTCTGAAAAGACTGGATTATGCATGGCGATTGATAGCGAACAAATTCCTACCGTTTGGTTTCAAGTCTATCTTGGACTTAACAGCTCGTAGTACACTCTGCACCATTGTTAGACAGAACCACCTTGTTCCCACCAGTTTTCATCTTAGGTAACGGACGAATTCGAATGAAGGCGAATAGATCGTAATCCAGCTGCTGACACGCACAAAGCACAAACAACCAAAAATGATTTCAGCGATCCATTGAATGAAGTGTTTCAAAAGTTTTTAGACCATTGTTTGAGGAATTCCTCAAGTTTCATGGAGTTGATGTTCACATAATATCAACGGGAAAATCTTTTCCGTCAAATGTGTACGGTAATACAGGCCTGTTTTATGCATCAACCACAGGCTTTACTGAAAGCTAGGACGAATATCTGCATTGTGTTTGGAAAGGAACCCCACACGAAAGTGATGCGGTCATGTAAAGTGATGTTAGATAATGGGCTTCGCTTTCGATGTTGGCTATTAATTTAAAGCCTGAGCGTTACAGCTTTAATTTAGGAATTTTGTCTTTATCGTTTGGTTAAATCAGAATATCTGTACTGTTCAACTAAACATTTTGGTGCAACAGCTCTTGTGATTTTGCAGCATGCATCTAAACCGATTTATCTGGATTTTCGTAATGAAGACAAACCAACCTGCTTCTCTGGGGTACAGTATCTTGGTCGCACAGCTGGAGGTCTGCCAGAGCACATTTGTGTGCATCAACATGAGTGACCAAGAAGTAGAGTAAACAAGCCATTCAGAATTTTGGCCGTGTGGCGCATTAGCAACAATGTTCACAGCACAAACGTTACCGATGAGTTTCAAAACTTGAACTTAGTTAAGACACGGCGGCGGTTTCGTATTCTAGCAACCGTGTAAGCAGTCAGCATCCGTCTTCATATTCCCTCTTTAAGTTCCAGTGTTCAGACTGCCAACATGTGGCCTGTGATAAAACATCCAAGCGAATGACAAGTGACTCCTAACGAAGGGGCGACCCACCCGGATGCAATATGCAGAAAGTTCAATAACTTCCCCCTTTTCCTCCGTAAATCAGTATATGTAAAAAGCATAAATTTTCTTGCACTGGTGTGATCAAGATGCACTGAAAACGAGATTGTTCGTCACTGGGAGTTTTCGGTATGTTCTGTGGGACATTTCAAACCAAATGGTTAAAAAAGCTAAATTGGGGAATTCAATGTATTGTCTCTAATTAACCTGGACATACCTTTCCATGATACTATCGTGGAACACTGTACGTTAAAGTGTATTTTTTGATCATTGTGTATTTTTGTTTATTTTCAAATATAACGTTGTCACCAATAACCATAAATTGTTTAGTTTCTTCTGATGGCGAAAGGCGATAGAGCGGTGAATGCCTTATTGGGGAAGTGTCTCTTGAGACTACTACATTCTCCGATAAACTGTTTTTTTTAATTTTTACTATATAATTAAAGAAACACAAAACCATAAGTCCCACAGCTTGCACCTAATTGTAATAAGATGGAACATCCGATCTATCCAATATGATATACATTTAGCTCGAGAGAGTTTAGGCATATCAGAATCTCTATTAATTGTTTTGGATGGTGTAAGCATATCGGCATCAATCCTTGGTCACCCTTTACTCTCGTTCATACTCACCGCAATTTATCTCTCTTTGTGTTCAAAGTTAACACAGCTTAAGTTTTCATCTTGGTACTAACGCCAAATTGATTAGGTTGTAATTAAGCTATGTTTCCTGTTTGTAATTCTTTGGCAAGCCTAGAGAGATGTAAGATCAAAGGTACAATTTTTAATGCCTTACATCTTCCCAAGATTCGATACTACTACACGGAAAAAGTGTTTGCGTTATTCCTCTTACTGTAAATGTAATCAAGTGAATAATTATGGTAAACATCATCTGAATTCGTCATTAGGATTGTAACAAAATAGAGCCGATTATTCACTATTGATTTTTGACGGAAATGATTTGGCTCTCTTCGTTTTGGACGATCGCAGTTTTTTTCTCAATAAAGGCGTTATATCTTTGTACCAATTGATTAACTGAATGATATGATTTTTAAACTTGGATTATTTTTTTATAATGGTCATCGGGTCTTTTATAAAACCATCGCACGTAAGTTAGTAAAGGACCATCGTTTCTGTAATCTCGTCATTGGTTTATTTCCGTTCACAGCTTGAACCAATCAGAATTCAGCCAATCGTTTCACTCGAGAGTCTGGCAACCATCATTATGTCGCGTAGGAGGTAGGTCTGGGCACTGGAAATATATTCGGTATAATGTACGTTGATGAATATGTTCCTGCCTGATAGTACAATGAAACTGGATGCTATGACTGTAGGATACCATTGAAGTTATCCTTACTGATGAATAATAGCACACTCGAATCGTATGTGCTTATATCAGATGTGGCCATTTTGTGGCGTAATGTACTGGTTGGTGCACTAATGTTCGCAACCATAGTGGTGACCGTGTTGGGGAATATTTTGGTTGTATTTGCTGTTCTTCGCGAGCATCACATGAGATCCAATTTAACGAATCGATTCCTGGTATCCTTAGCAGTGGCTGATCTACTCATGGGTGGTGTTGTGATGCCGTTTGCAGTGGTGCTTACACTTCAGGATGGATATTGGCCTTATGGAAGAAACTGGTGTGATTTATGGCATGCGTTTGATGTGTTGTGCTCTACGGCGTCTATCATGAACTTATGCGCCATAGCAGTCGAGAGATTCTGGGCCACCGAAAACCCAATTAGCTACGCGTCAGAGAAAACGCGTCGTCGTTGTACCATCATGCTAATTTGCGTGTGGGTATGTTCGACTACTATATCTTTTCCCGCTATCGCGTGGTGGCGCAGAACCAGTGACTACTTTGCGGGTGGTCCAAACGAGTGTAATTTCACGAGCGATCAAATCTACCTGATCAGTTCTTCTCTCGTCTCATTCTATATTCCTTTGATCGTGATGACATCTGTCTATTTCAAAATTTATCAAACTGCCACGAAACTAACCCGAAGCTTACGCATAGGTGAGAAAGTGGTTCCATATGATATTGGAAAAAAGAACCGAACGCAAAACTGGAAACGTGCAGCTCAGTCAGCCAGAACGACTGGACGAAATGTATTCTCATCAGTGTCCCGTTTGGACAACCCAGTGGACAAGGTTATTCTACGGATTCATCGTGGTGTTAAACCAAAACCAAATGTGAAATTTAACGTGCCAAATCAAAGCAAACAAAACACCATACACAGTAATTCTCCATCCTCTTCACATGGTGTAGCCGTAATGCGAAATGCGGCAAATCCTATAGGAGGCAGTTTGTTCCCCCAAAATGCATTCACCTGTGGAAATTGTCAAGGTTGTTTGTCTAAAAACTCGATGCATGACTTTACTCCAGATTCGGTACAACCAATTGCGCCGAATAAATTGTCTTGTGCAAACAATGCCAAAACTCGAACATGTATGTCCTGCTGTTTGATGATCAACGAAAACATTCCGCTAACTGAACGGAGAAATATTGATCTGTGTGACTCGACTAATATTCCTTCGGACGATTTACCGTACACGCAAATTCTTGCCCGTGGAAAAATCACCTCACAACCATCGATAGCTCGTCTGATTATGAAAGACACTCCGGATTCGGGTCAGTCTCGTGCGAAACAGTGGGTGAGTCGTCTGCGCATTTTTGCCGCAACCACTAGAATCAGCAAATTTGTGCGAGAACAGAAAGCTGCCAAAACTCTTGGTTTGGTGATGGGATTATTCATTTGCTGCTGGTTGCCATTTTTTGTGTGTAATATTTTCGTGGCATTCAATCCACATCTACCGGTTGAGAGCATCACCTTTCAGCATGTGATGACTGTTGTTACATGGCTTGGATATATCAACTCCGGAATCAACCCCATCATATACGCACATTCAATGCGCGAATTTCGACGAGCATTCAAGCGTTTGTTATGCTCGTGGTGGTGGAATCATAGCAAACAAAGGTATTATAATTCGGGGAAAGTAAATCGTTCTGCTGGTTCGCGAAGGCACCATACTATTAATATTCCAATGAATCTTGAAAGAGTAAACAACATGAATTTTTGTACCGCAAAATCAGGTCAACGCGATTGCCTACAACTGGCTACCGAACATCAGAAACAAGGGGATTTGGTTCATTTTGATGTTCATTTGCCCAGCAAACGTGAATATTTGACTGCACACAGTGAACAAGGTATGCATGCTTACCCACCTGTGTGGCCAAACTGTGATGGAATATCAGACACCGGGCAAGTGGTGAAAACGGTTGAATGGTACAGCGGCCCACCAAGTTTAGCCAGCCCTGCGTTGGTTAGTCCCGTATGCTCCAACAAACACGGCTTGAAAATCAACTCTCGTGTTCTTTCCGCGTCACATATCCCTCGCACCACCATCGGTGCAGCAGTGAACCCGAAAACTTCAGGAGTGTGTGCTGAGGCCAATTTCTGAGGATTCTTACACAATGAGCAAGCCTGTGCAATACCCCTGTGATACCAGCAACTAGTAAAGTAAACAACAATCTGTGATTACTAAATACGACGTTCTTCGGTTAAAATAAACTAAAAGAGAAAGCAAGAAAATACGTGTTGGATTATTCTTGCCTAATGAGAAATCAACCAAACCCAGATTTGTAAATATTTTACATTACCTTTTCATTTTCAAATGCATAAAGAAAAAAAATTATTTGAAAGAAATGTGGAGTTTCCGAAGTATTTTGTTTTCGGTTACGCCGGCTGAGGTCTGTAAAGTGAAAACTGAGCAGTGACAAGAATTTCACTTCTTCTGAAGTCTGCAAATAGCTCCTGGATACCTGTGCATTATCCTTGAACTTTTACATTATTAGTGCATCCTGATTAACGTTGCGAATGTTAATTAGAAAGTCGAAGCTTGCGTCACTGCTTCATCAGTAATAAATGTGCTCCGGATATGTATGTTATCCGCAATATAGAAAGAATCTCATGGATTGGGTCAATTTAAATATCTCTTTGTTCAGTAATTTTCAGTATTTTAGTTTAAAAGTAGAAACCTACCTGGCATCAAGGAATATGATAATAATCTTGCAAGAAATTAACCGATGTCTCCCACTAATGAGAATTACATTGTTGGAACGAATGATTTTTTTCGGGAATAATGTGCTTTGAATTTGTTAGGATTGGTATTCCCTATTTTGCTGGGTTTCCTAAGAAATGATTTTCTGAGAGCACGTTTTGCGCAATTGTTGCGTAATTGATAACCTGTTTATTACTAGATATCTTTACTAGTACATCTTTTAGAGACATATACAACAGCAAACGTTTCTCGTTTATTCGATTGAAGAGCTGAGTAGCAGAAACCACGCACAAAAATTACCATTTGTGAAATTCAAAACTATCAACAATCAGCACGAAAAACAAATTTCAACCGAAATTTGGCGCATTCTTACTATTTATGAGCAAACGAAAGTTTGTTGTTTATACTGGTAAAAGAATTTCCAATTTGAAATAGACATTAATTTATACTAGAAATCGTTCTCCAAACTGTGTAAAAAGTCTACATTCGGTGAATAACAATGCTCGTTGGAACGACAGGACTGGGGTCTAGAGCCTCCTTTCTCAATGTGTGCTCTGTGTAAAAATGTTTCTGTTGCTGATGAATCCACTGGAGGACGCTGTTGAGCTATAAACTGGTGCATCCATCTAACCATATGCTGATCAGTGGTTTAATGCTTTACATAAATCCTCAAATACCGTTTGCTTCCATTAGGTTTTCAAGATGAATACATGCATGGTAAATGAAATAGTGCCAGTCATTTAATTGGGCAATATTCAAACCCTTTTGTTATAACGGTTCACACAAAGGGCAATACTTTCACAACACTTCAACTGATGTAAAGTTGTTTTACCAGTAACATTCGCTTCTAAAAGTCTAAGATACACCTAAAAACACGAATATTAGCAAGGGTTTACATACGGCAAGTATCTCCCTACGGTTCATTCTAAAGGAATCCTTTTTTCTTTCAGCGCAGAGTAAATATGAAAACAGCTGACTGCCAACGTCAGGGATTAGTCTTCGACAGCCGGGTGATAACACTCACGGTGGTTACTGGCGTCCAAATCTCAAACGCACGTGTTGTAGGACTTTGTACACAGAATAGAAAGCTCAATAAGAGTCGACTGAGTGCCCATTGTTTAATTAATTTGCCTTTATGCACCTTGAAACCTTTCAGTTCTTCCGTGTACAAATTACCAGGGTAATATTCACCTTTACAGCTAACTTGAACTGATATATAATCATGAATTGGATCCATAAAGCTATTTCTCTCGTGTTTTGGAATGGTACAGTTGATGAAGTAGAGAGGGCATTCCATTTCCATTTAGATCCCTCAGCTAGGGACTTCCATAGAAGATCATTTGAAAGAAGTATGTATTTTTATCTATTTTATGTATGGTGCTTTATCCATTCTATTTCGGTTTCTGTGAACGATTTTTCGAATGATCGTTACCGCTTGATTTCTCCATCAAGGTAAAGTTATTCACACTCAAATCTCTCCTTTCAAGAGTGAACTTGCTTTGTACCGAATGCAGTAAGTCATATAAACCTTGTCAGAAAGTGGCCCGAAAGCATAAAGCTAAATTTAAATAAAAACCTTGGTGGCTTATCGCTATGCATATAACTAAACAAAACCTAATTTTGTTTGCGTAGATGAAACAGCAGTAGGAAGGGATGTTCCAATTATACGTAATTTCGATTCGTACAAATATATATATATGAAGCTAATAATTTTGTGGTTATCGTAAATGCTTTATTGCCTTCACTGCAGTGTTTTCGATGTGATAAATTGCTTTTTATGTTAAACAATAATATTGGCATGGACACACTATGTTGGTTTACTATAGGATGATTCTCATACTTGTTAAACTGTTAGTTCATTTGATTCACAAAATAATACTCACTAATGAACTCTAACAAGGAACATGTTTACAAAAACGTTCTTTGTTTTTATGTGAACTGTTTCCTTCTCTTGTTACTTCAAATTGGAACGTTTTAAAACTTAATATTCAATTTACTGACGACCAAATATTTTACACTCACAAATTGTCACTGACGGGGTTGTTTAACTTATTTTGGTATGATTTTGTCATGCCAACGATGGTTAAAAATTTCATTTATTTATCAAGAAATCCCGTTTACTACTATACCCAATTCAATTATGGGCTTAACTGAGAATGAATGTCCGCGGTTTCAGAACTGAGGGTGAGATGTGCTAATATTACTTAGCTTGTATAAAACACGTTATTCCAGCACAATTAAAAGAAATTATCTGGTAGCTCTCAGTTCTCAATATTTCATCATAAAGAGTGCTGAAACAATTTGTTGAGCAGTTGAGTCTTTATATTGATTGTTTAACGGTGTCTAGATGGTGTATACATGTGATGGTTCGCAAAGACTGGACGTTGTCCATTTGATTCTGATTGATCGCTGCACACTTGTTCCGTATCACTTGTTTCAGTGGTTACGCGTAAAAATACTGTTGCGTTGGATTAAATCGCGAAATTTAAATCGATACACGCTAAGTTTCACAGTTCTGTTTTCGGTTCAGGAAATAACCACTACCAAGTAAATGCCCCGAGTTCTTTCGGTGGTGCGCTAGGGCTCGGCACGCACCTTTGTATAGAGTAATCCGTTAGTTGTCCGATTAAAAAGAAAAGGAACGGACAACGCACCTCACTTGTTTGCCAAGAGCTTCCATTTAGTTTCCTTATGATTGAGCTACATCAGTTTTCAACCCAGAAACAAGTTCGTTCAACCTTCGGTGTACGGACTAGGTTAAAGGTTTGAACTGTCTGTATCTGTGTCAACCCTTCATTAAGTAGATTCCATAAATTTAATAGCCGATTTCTGAAGGAGTGAGAACTTTCTACGATCCTGAACCGGGATTTCCTTATTTTCTTACAGTGATCACTGGTTCGCTAATCAGAGTCTACCTGTAAAAGATTCTCCGGCCCATACGTGATAAACCCTCCACTATTTTGAAGCTTTTGTGGACAACACCTCAGAGTCTTCTCCTTTCCAAAGCGAAAAACACCCGGTCTTGGAAGAAGACATCTCATCTGTGGGATTGAGAAAAGCTTGCCTTAAGAAACTCCTACGGTCTTCTAATCTGTTTCTCTCTCGTTTTCTATATATACATATACATATATATATGTATGACAGTTTGGTAAAGAACGATGTTGATTGTTGTTTTTGTAGCTCGGGTGGTATAATATGATGTTGATTTGTTCGCCGAGCTTGGCAATTGTATTGCAAACTTTTCATCACCAATCGAGGTGACATTCTCNATGTAGCGTGTTAATTTGCAACAAACAAACATTTTTGCAGTGGTGTTTCCTTCCAGTTATAAACAAAACTAGCAGCATTCCCATAATTGCTTGACTTTATATAGATTATACGTTCATGTGACTGAATGGTTTAACTTTGACTGGCATGTAAGAGAAATGTCAAGCGTTTTCACGGACACGTGATGAACCTTTGTCTTGAGGAACATTCAGCTGCTACCACATTCTCCAACTATGAAATCCACTCATCTGAAAGAAAACCCTAACAATGTTTTGTTAATAAGAATAGAATTTCAATTTCAATTTCAATTTCATATATATATATGTATATATATATATATATGATGTTTAGTTGTTCGCCGAGCTTGGCAATTGTATTGCAAACTTTTCATCACCAATCGAGGTGACATTCTCAATACAGTAACTGTATTGAGAATGTCACCTCGATTGGTGATGAAAAGTTTGCAATACAATTGCCAAG